TCATATATATATATATATATATATATATATCAAAATCAAATACTTAACTTGCTTGTACAAATTGACAAATATAACAAATATCTATTGCACTAAATTAGCCTTTATTTATATAGAAAAAGTGAGCAACTGAGATTTGGCTAGCATAAAACTGTCTTTTTTTGTTTTGTGAGTGAGAGCATAAAACTATTTTTTCTTTTTGTTTTTTAAGTGAGTAAGTGGGGAGATGGGCCCTACACTTGATAGGAATTGAGCTTAGGACGCAGCATTACAAATTGTCATGCACTAAGTAATTAAGCTCAAGCTCTTTTTCAAACACTAACTAAGCCCAAGCTCTTTTCTTAAGTACTTGCGTACCTAAGTACTAAGTACCCAGGCGCTAACCGCTAGCAGAAAACTTTGATTAAGTACTTGTACTTAAAAGTGAGAACAACAGTAATTTATAAGAGAGAAAGTGCCTCTACAGCATTGGTAATTGAACACCAAATGCGTAGATATTGTCTATTGAATGGTTCTTTTTTATCTTTTTTTAGGGTAATTCACTAGGAAAGACAAACTCTTACCCATTTTTTTAAATAGTTTGAGAGTTAATTATTTTTAACGTGTTAGTGGGGTAGTATCAGTAAAAATAAAAAATCACGACATAATGACTAAAGTGGGAGGGTACTACCACTACAACCCCAACCACTTCCCCGAAATGTTTGTGCAGCACGGTCTTACGTAACGCACGTAGCATAGCGTGGCCTTCCATTTTTTCACTTATACGTCAAATAAAGGCTCATGAATTACGCCCTCTCAACTATTGCCCACCAAAAGAAATTCTCACGTAATGTCACCCATGCGACATGAACTCTTGCAAAGTCACGCTTTTCACTTGCGGCAACGCTATAAGCAATTTCGACCGACAACGTTGCTTTGAGCGGGTGGCAATGGACCGGTGGGCCGGCCCAACCCTGCAAAATTAGGTCGTGGGCCACAAAATGTGACCCCTACTTGAGCCAGGGCCTAGGCCAAGATAGGGCCAGCCCAGTTTGGCCTGGCTCCACCATTATTTCCTTTACTTTTTTTTATAAAAAATTATTTGCCCAACCCGATAGGACCTAACTTGGGCCATACAAAATTATCTAATTTGATTACTTATTTTCATTCTATACATGCTAAAAAGAAATATTTTGTACATGCTAAGAGATTTTATTTACTAGAATAAAACTATGCAATGGAAAATTATTTTGGGGAACTCTTGTTTTTAAATTGATAATTTCTTTTTCAAAAAATGAAGAGCTTTTTATATTTTATTTATGGAAAAAGTTTATATAAGGGTGAGGCTCTAAACAATCAAACTAAGGCGCACCTAAAAAAATTCACTAGAATAGGTTGTTTTGATGTTGAAAAACCCCTAATTTGACCATCTCGACTTCAAGATATGTGAACGTGAGAGAAAAATATATTTCAAGTCTTGAAAATACTTGTAATGTATTATCTAGACTGTCAATTTTCAATATTGTCAAATATTTATAGAACTGCTCGACCTACACTATTTTTGAAGCTCTAGATTTCATGATTAAAGATGAAAATAAATTTTTATGCCATTTCTAATATTGATATAACATATTTTGGCACTATTTGAAAGTATGCCTTAATTTGATTCGTTAGGGCATCAACTTTATACAAACTACATCCATTATTTATTAGGCAAAACTACAAAATAAATTTATATTAATCCCACATATATGGAAACTTTATGAGTCCTAGATATTGAAAGAAACTGTAGTTTGAAAACTAAAAATTAGTTCTAAACATAATTGTAGAATTGAAATTATTTTCATCTATTGGAAGTAGTAAGAAAAGATCCGAAGACTTATGGCCTCACTGAGCATATGACCCTTAATAGAGCATGGCATACCAGGATTCGTATAGCCGACCTCAATTAATTAAAAAAGGCTATGATGATAGTGATGATTTATTTTTATTTTAAAATAAAACATAAAAAATATCTCGATCTTGCATATGTACGAAAACTTATTTATCTTGACTTCATAAAAAAGCATTCCAAATAACTTCTTATTTTTTATTGGTTTAGAACATTTCTTTAACATTTAAAATGTGTAATATTAAAGAAAAATTCATTTGATATGAGAACTCGTTGTCATCCTTTTGATTCAAAGAACTCATATTTGTTAGGAAAGTATTGTGAATTTAAATATGATTTTAAATTTTTATTGTTACATTATAAATGCCTAAATAATAAAATTTGTATACTAAAAATTTTAGGAAAGTGCCTTTTTACCTTAATTTTAAAACATATTTTCTTAATCAACATTTTACAAGTGTGGAAACCTCGTTTATAAATTCATTATGCAAAACAATTTTTATGTTTATATTATTAATGTCTAGATAATAAAATTTAGGAAAGTGCCTTTTTTTAATTTAACAAATATTTTATTAATCAACCTTTTACATGCGTGGAAACCTCGCTTATTAATTCATAAGCCAATTCTCCATTTCTAATTTGAGGGAGAGAATATATAACCTGAGTCTTCCTTCTTCTTTTTTTCGATAGGTTAACTAAACTTTATATATATAATAGTAGGTTACAAGTGTTAGAATTCATGGGAGTATACATGCACAGACATTGAATGGAGAGAGAAGAAGAGATAATACAACATTTACGTGGTTCAGGTTGAAGCTTCACGTTCACGAATCCAAAGCCCCAACTAACTACATCTTCACTATTTGGATGAATGTTTACATCAATAAATACCTTCTTATATAGAGGACAATCACATGAGATAAACATGGTATGATAAATATAGGAGATAAATATGATTATTGGATATATAAGTAATAGTAGAAGCCTTATCACCAAACTAACTTGATGACCAAGTAACTTTGATTTGGTCTCATCTTATCTTCTAGATACATAATCTTATCAAGAGATATATACCCACACATCCATAATGATGTATATCAATATGAACCCGAGATATCCATATCCTAACACTTCCCCTCAAACTCAAAATGTTTTGACACAAAGCAGTTGGAGTTTGAACAATACTAAGTTGCCAAAAATGAGTGGTGATCTTCAGGTTAGTAGCATAAACGAACAAGTTGGATCTTCAGGTCTTCAGGTTCATGGCGTGACTGATAGAAGCAGTGGTCTACATACTCAGATTGCTTAAACAACAAGCACATTGCTTGAACAAATAGATGGCCTAAAAAACATCCAGGATTGAGTAACGAAAACCTCGATCAACAGAAGACAAACATGCCTTTGGAACATCTGGTATCGAGTAACAAAAAACTCAATCAATAACAGACAACCAGGCTTTCAAAATTTTTAAGATCAAGTATCGAAAAACTCGATCAATAGACATGATCGAATAACTGAAAGAAATTCGATCATCTCACAGGATGGAGCAACATAAAACTTTATCATCCAACATGATTGAGTAACGAAAAACTCAATCATTAAAATTTGGAGTAGACAGGATCGTGTAAACCTGATCATCACGCAGGATCGAGTAAACTCGATCATCACACATAATCGAGTAAACTCGATCATCATACTGGATGGAGTAACAAAAAACTCCATCATCAAACATGATCAAGTAACAAAAAATTTGATCATCTACCAAGATCGAAAGATTTGATCATCCAACATAAGGCACTTGGAAGAGCCAACAGAAATCAAAAGAAAATCTGAAACCTTTGAAATCGCACTGGTCCATAAATTGAACTGCACTAAATCAATCTCTCTACCAAAACCATCTACAATATTATTTCAAGGATTCCAGAGCCACTAACTTCTCTCAAGTCCATTGCAAAAGTGAACGGCAGCTGGTCCATCCTAACATATTTGAACAACACCTTATTCAAATGGACCAATCAGGGCATGA